TGTTGAAAACAATGTTTTTAACCAAAGTCCCCCCCCCCCCAAAAAAAAAAGTAGATTACTTGTAGGGATGGGGCTTTGCGACAATATCTTGTACCACAGTGTGTTGGAATAGATAAAAATCCTAACAGAAGCACCACATAACAGCTGTGATCATGAAAACGTCACAGGTCACTCCTGGCACCAGCAAGAAGGCCAAAGTGAACAGGCCCAGGCTGACCTCTTCCAGCTCAAAAATCCATGACAATGACCTACCTGCATTGCAGACAAGGAAATGAGAGAAGAAATGTTCTGAAAAGCCCAAATCGTTATCACAGGTTTGAAGGGTAAAGCATTTGTTCTTGGTTCATAAGAAAACATTATTGGCCCTCTCTGGCCAATGCATATGCCTCAGTTACAAAATCTGTTCATCAGGATTCCATGCACAGCTGGCAATAATGTGACAGCAAGAAGTAAGGTAAAATTTAAATTTAAAAAGGCTTAAAGCCATAAAAGTTATGCACAGAAATGTACCAATGAAGTAAATGTAAATGTCTTAATACAGTATAACAACCCATGTTCATATGGATTATTTTTAAAGATACAATTACATACAAAAGGTTCTGGAAATATTGACAAAATAATCCAAAAGGTTAAGAAGTGTTTAAAGCTGTACATAGAATAGTAACCCGCATCTATGCAGAAAATGAAATTATCAGAAGAACTCGTTTCTCAAAAATTATAGCTGAAGTTGTAGTCAACTTCACTTTGCTTTTTAGAATAGATAAATTGGCCCTATTATAATGAGAATTCAAATTTATTTTTATACACCATTATGAAAAATGTACAACTGTTAAGAAAAATAAAAACACAAGGTCAAACAAAAAAGACTTTTAAATGTTTCAACAGAATAAATTAGTGGATCTATTCATAGAGGAACATTCTAGTTACTTTTTAAACCTTTATATAAGCATCAAGAAATATGAAAAAGCATCAAAATATTTCAATATTATGAATTTTCATAACATATTATCAAACTTTTCTCTTGCTTATTTCATAATAATTTTTCAGTAGGTATTTATCAAACACCAAGCCTATGCCAGGCATTGTTTCAGGGGCTGAGAACTCAGCAGTAGGCCACAGACAAAAATCCCTTCCCTCATAGACTGCATCTTCTAATAAGGTGAGAAAGATCAACAATATAAAATAACATATGTTCTATCGTGTTACTCTCTCCAGAGAAAAAGAAAGTAGTAAAAGCAGGTCCCAGTAGAAGGATGGGACTCGATATAAATAAGCTTGCCAGGGAAGGCCTCTGTGACAAAATGGCATTTGAGTAATGACCTAACAATCAAACAAGAGCACTTCTTGAAGGGTGGAAGGGTGGTGGGGTGTGAAATATGGTGAGATCAGGTAAAGCCCTGTAGGAATTTGACTTTCCCACTGAGTTTAATGAGAAACCACTGAGGCTTTTCATGACTAGAAGAGATATGATGGGACTCACACTTGAAAGGACCAACGCTGCCTATGGCGATGAAAGGTCAGAAGCAAGGAAAATAGTTATGAGGCTCTGACCAATCCCAGGTAAGAAAGTATAGTGGTTAGGGCCAGGATCAAAGGTCAAGCAGTAGAGGTGGTCCTATTCCGGACATACTGTGTAGGCAATGCCAGCAAGATCTGTTTGGACATGGAATGTGGGAAGGCAGAGCATGACAGAAATAGAAAAATCAAGAAGACTCTACGGTGGAAAGGCAAACTCTTATTTATTTCAATAATTAGTATAATTTCATCTTCGATTAAGTGAAAGCATGTCAAAATTGTGTCACTTCTCTATAAACATGTGAAAAATGACCTTGTAAATTGTTCTTTTTCTTTTTCTTTTTTTTCTTTGCAGTGTTATATGTAGTTGATTTTAAGTTCAATGACATGATTCTTGAAATCTTGAATTTCTTTCAAAGCCTGTCATTCTGCGCAAATCAAGCTATTATTTTCCATAGGCAGCTTCTCTGGATTTCTACTCATTAAAAAAAAAAATCTTTTCAAGCGAGGCAGCACCTCAAGACCTAACGTTGTCTGGCCACTTTGTTAACACTGTAGCCCACTTTTTAATTCATTTTGACTGTCGTGCGTCTCAGTAGGAAAGCTCATTCAAGCCCACAACTTTTTTTTTTTTTTAAGATATTCTTAATATTTTTTTCTTTATTGATTTTAGAGAGGGAGGAAGGGGGAGAGAGATAGAAACATCAGTGAGAGAGAATATCGATTAGCTGCCTCCTGCATGACCCCCACTGGGGATTTGTGGGCATGTGCCCTGACTGGGAATGGAACCAGCAACCCTTTGTACATAGGTTGATGCTCAACCACTCAGCCACACCAGCTGGACAAGCACACAATTCTTAACCATCGTCCTTACTCCTAGACTCAAGAAGGGCAGCTCCACTTAGAGCTCCTATTTTACCTCAATGTGACAGCTGAGCTGGGCTATGAAAAATGGAACAAGGGACGTGGACAGAGTTAATAACAAAAGAAACTCCTCCAGGTCAGAGCACACCCAGGCTCTCCCAGAACCTATAAAAAGGCCTACTATAATAATAGGAATCCAAGAAAACTAATCAACAGGAGCATGGTTCTTTTTTTACTCTCTGTTAAAGTATAACAACATACAAAAAAGGGCACAAAATGAGTATTCTGCTCAATTTTAAAAAATTGAACCTATGTAACTCAGAACAAGAAACTTACCAGCAATCCATACCCCTCCCTCATACCCTCTGCCAACAGTTAACCACCATATTCATCAATGACCTAACACCTAACACCACAGATCAGTTCTGTCTAGTTTTGAAGTTTATATAAATTAATCACACACTGTGTACTCATTTGAATCTAACTTTTTAAAGTCAAATTGTGTTTGTGAAATGGAAACAAACACATTGATCCATTAAATTTTTGGTTCATTCTCATTGCCAAACAATATTCTATTTACTTATTTTTCCATTCTCTGGTTGATGTGCACTCAGGTAGCTTACAGTGTGAGACTATTAGAAATGGTGTTCCTGGGAACATTCTTGAACTTATCTTTTGTACATTTCATTGCATATATACACAAGAGTGGAATCCTGGGGTTATAGAAGTCATGTAGATAATAGCAAATGATTTTTCTAAATGGTTGTCCCAATTTATATTCCTAACAGAAGTATATGAGAGATGGGTTGATTCACATCTTCAGCAATACTTGGTATTTGGGTATTTTTTATTTTAGCCAGAATGATGTCTTGAGTGGTATCACATTGTGGTTTTAATTTGTATGTCCTGATGACAAAAAAAAAAGTGAACATGTTTTCATATTTTCATTTGCCATTTTGATATCTTTCTTTATGAAGTGCCTTTTCAATACTTTTGCCCATAATTCTATTGAGATGTCCTCTTTATTTTAAATTGTAAGTGTATTTTATATTTCTAAATATAACTTTCAATGAGTTTCTCCAAATCTGTGGGTTGTCTACTCTCTTATTAGAGCTTCTTGAAGAATATTTTTTTAATGAAGTCAAATTTTATCATCCTTTTAAAAATGTTAGTGTTCTTGGGTTTTCATTTTGTTTTGTTTCATTTAAGAAATCTTTGCCTGCACAAGATGACAGAGATATTCACCGATGCTTTCTCCCAAGAGCGTCATCATTTTTTCCTTTGACAAGTAGAATTGGAATTCCATCTGGAGTTGACATTTGTGTGATACTTTCCATGGTACCCAACTAAACAAGCATCATTTATTAAAAAGACCATCTTTTCCTCTATGAATGAAATTTCACCTTTGTCCTGAATCACATGATGCAACAGTCTGCTTCTGGACTCTTTATTCTGTTCCAACTGTCTATTTGTATGTTTTTACACCAATATAATGTTGTAATTACTACAGCCTTATAACACCTTTTGACACTAAATAATTAAGTCCCCCAGCTTTATTCTTCAAAATTGCCTTAGCTATTCTTGGTCCTAAAATCATTAACAAGGTAAGTGCTTCAGTTAGTTTATTCTCTCTGAATAACATTTTGTGATGTGATTTTTCTGTATAAAGTTCTTATACATGCATCACAATCTTCACCTACAAAAACTCTATGCAACACTTTTATAACAGTAGTAACTGCAGATTATTTTCATCTAACTAACCTATAAAACTGTCTGTAAAGCTATGAGGATGCCAAAGTTCTTAAATATAGTAAATGTAAATTTACTTAAAGTCTTAGGACTCATTTGCTATAGCAATAAATCAAGAAAAAAATAACACATGAAATGTTACCTAAATGTTAGTAGATAAATCCATCACACACACACAAAAAAAGCTTAATCTTACTTATGTACCAGTATAGGAGTACTGTAGATGATATTGGTTAGAGCCCAGTAAATGAAAACTAAACTGTATCCTTGAGACCAGATTTTGTGAATCATATTAATAGTAAGCAACAAGATCAATCTAATCAGGCCAAAGTTCTAGAGGAAGCTTAGATGGAAAACTATAAATCAGAGCAGCCAGAATCCTACAACATAACATTCAAACTGTGATCCATATTAAGGTTATAGAAAGATTTCTTTTAAATAAGCCATCTTTATTTCTTTTGGAGAAGAGGCAAAAGAAAATTTAGCCAAACCATTTCTAACTATATTAACCCTGGTGTGTTAAGTCATAACCAATCAGAACTTAAAAACTCTGATTACCCCCCTGTGTTTATTTGTACCACTCCATTACTCACGCAACTCAGCCCACACTGGTCATATGAAGGACACAGTTTTGTAATAGTTTCAAATCAACATAGAGAATTATGGAAGGAAAAAAACCTAAGCAATTTGTTTCCTTGAGCATCTGGCTTATTATATAGCATACAATTCTTTCATGGCATAAATTTTTCAAATTTTAAATCAATCAAAAATGCTCACAAAGCTCAAAATTTCAAAACAATTCTTTGCAAATATCCAACAGATTTTGCCCAAGATTTTAAGGGAATGACACTCTATTGACACTATATCCATACCTTACAAACTGTATCCACATCCCAAGGTAGTATAGTCCTTAGATCAATGACTTCACAAGACACTCCAAGCTTTTCTTGAGCCATGGAAGCCACCTCTCGGATCACATGAACCTGAAATAAGGAGAAAAATATTAAGAAAATTACTATAGAAATTCAGGCCTAAAACATTAGTTGAGTTCTGACATCATTAATAAAAGTAGTATTTAAAGTCAGAGGAGTTAATCTTCACAGAGAATTAATAAATTTGTTTTTGACATGTTGAACCCTATATTTCACCAAAATAATCAAATATAGAAGTCTAGAAAACAGACAGAAAGAGGTTCTAAGAGAAAGTGAGACCAGTCATTGCTAGAGATACTGATTCCAAAGATAACAGCCACAGAGGTGGGTAGTAGGTGGGGTTTCTAGGGAAAACATTTAGAGCTGTGGTTCTCAACCTTCCTAATGCTGCGACCATTTAATACAGTTCCTCATGTTGTGGTGACCCCCAACCATAAAATTATTTTCATTGCTACTTCACAACTGTTATGTCTTAGGTGACCCCTGTGAAAGGACAGTTCAACCCCCAAAGGCGTCGTGACCCACAGGTTGAGAACCACTGATTTAGAGAGAATAGTCAGGGTAGAAGTCATGGAATCCTGTAGATGACCAACAGTTACAGGGAAGACAGATGAACAAAAGCTACTAAAAACTAAAAACAAACAAAGAAAAAGAAACAGGAAGAAAATCAGGGTACTGTGTATTCCAGAAGCTAAAGAAGAAAGGGTTTCATAGATAGAGTAGCCAGTGCCATATACCAGAGCAATATAGGACAGAGTTGGACTTAACAATTAGAAGGTTAGTGATGTTAGTAGAAATAGTTTTAGTGAATTAGTGGGAACAGAATTCACAAGGTCATAAGGACATTAAGGAATTAAATACTGGTGGTAGAAATTGTTGAAGGTTAGTAATGAAAGGAGGAAAATATACTGTTATTTAAAAGAAAAGCTGGGTAGAAAAATGTACTTTTCGATAGTGAAGACATATACACCATTAAAATTTTTTTCTTTATTGATTTTTAGAGAGAGGAAGGAAAAAGGAGAGAGAGAAAAGCATCGATGAGAGAGAACACCGACTGGCCACCTCCTGCATGCCCCCCAATGGGGTGGGGCCCACTACTTGGGCACGTGCCCTGACAGGGAATCAAACTGGTAACCTCTTAGTGCGTGGGTCAGTGCTTAACCACTGAGCCACACCAGCCAGGCAGATACATACCTTTTTAAAAAAAGGGACATGGAAAAAAGAAACTGAAGATGCAAGAGAGAGAAGAACCAATTGATATATCATAGTCCTGAAGAAAATAAATGTAATATAATCTGAAACAGATTTGGAGAGGTAACTATGACAACCAGATGCCTCTCCTTGAAGACAAGGGAAATAGGAAAGGACTGAAAGAAGTGATAGGTATAAAGGGAAAACGAGTAATGGGAGTTAACATCTAACACACTCTAATTTCCCTATTAAAAAGAGAGGCAAGCCCTGGCCGGTTTGGCTCAGCAGTTAGAGCGTTGGCCTGCGGTCTGGAGAGAACCAAGTTCGGTTCCTGCTAAGGGCACATATCAGTTTGGACCTTGGTCAGTTTGTCCCCGGCCCTGGTTGGGTCGTGTGGGTGGCGACCACTCAATGTGTCCCTTTCACGTCGATGTTTCTCTATCTCTCTCCTTCCCACTCTATCTGAACAAAATATCGAAAAAAAAAAAAAAAGAGAGAGAGGCAAGGACACATTCTGAGAGTGACCAAGGATGTGGATTAAAAGGTTTCCCACCCACCAGAGGTGAGAAACCATGAGGACTGTAGCTCTCCTAGCCAAAAAATCAAGTGGAGAGAGGAGGTTGTAATATAGCAAATGATTTGTATTATCTTCTTTATACTACCATATTAAAGTTTCTAAAATAAGCAATTATTTCCTTTACACAGAAAAAAGAAAAACTAAATTTCTGTAAAAGGTGATTAAGAAGTTAAGAGAGAGACGTCTATGGCCAGAGAAAGAGTTCGAGCTTAAAAGATTAGAGATAGAGCAATGTGTCCACAAGCAGTGGGGAGAGTGGGGGCGGATCAGCGGTGAGGCTTACTGGAAAACAGAAAGGTATGGAATTCTGAGGCTGGACCACTGGATGGGTCCACATGGCCAATAACGTAGCCACAAGAGATGGCAGCAGATGAGGTGAAAAAGAAAATAGTAAGTAAAGGGCAGCAACAAGTAGTGGATAGGTAAAATGTGCTTTAGAAGAAACAGTGTTTTTAATGAATAGGTTGTAAACTCAGCCTATTTTTAATGTCTTCACCATATGTGTATATATATATATATATATTTTAATGACTGAATAAGCACCCAACCTTCAATCAAAAATCAATACCAGATATAGACGAAACACCAAACAAGACAAATTTGAAATAAGTAAAACATCGTTTTCAGTTCTTCATAGTATCAGGATTAAAAGTAAGAGCTTCCAAGCGCACAAACCTTACCAATTAGTATAAATGTCACTGACCTGAGTGCCCCAGGCAACTAGAGTAACATCACTTCCTCCCTGTATGACCTCAGCCTGGGACAAGGGGATGTTGTATGGTTCCACGGGAACCTGTTCCACTGGATATAAAACGGGAAAAATGAAAGGTCAGTTATTTTCTCTCATGTAACATTTGTGCATAAAAGAATATAAGAACCTCATTGTGGCAAAGCTCTATTTATTCCTCCATAAATTCCAGGTTATTTATAACAGAAATAGCATTTACCATACAGCTTCATGACATGACTACACAGATGAAAAAATACAATTTAAATGTATGAAATATATCAGCTATCCTGGAACAGAAAAAGGATGTTAGACTTCAGTCAATAATAATGTATCAAACTGTACCATACTAATGTAAGATGCTAGTAACTGGGGAAACTGGGCGTGGAGTGTATGGAAACTCTCTGTACTACCTTCACACTATATTTTTTGTAAATTTAAAACTGTTCTGAAAAATAAAGTGTTAACAAATGTAATATATCTGTTAAAACTTTATTGGACTAAATTAAGTTCCCAAACAAGTTTTCTATCAAGAAGCAAATTTATACATGTTTGGGGAAAAATAAAGCCACTTAGAAGGGCCAATTTTTAAGCATTTTTTTTTTTTTCATTTTGCATCTATGAATACTTTGTCAACCATAGCAGCTGACAACACCTTAATTTTCAAAGCTGAATCCTACAGAACTCAGAGAGAAAAACTGAATCAGCTCCACCAGGCCAAAACGAAGAATAGCCACTGGCATCCCAGAAAAAACCATTTCATGATTTCTCTGCCCAGCCAGGTTACAAAAAAATATAGAATTGGCTGAATTTGAGCAGAAATCATACAGCAAATTTTTAAATTAAATTGAGTAGAAAGTTGAAAGAATTACCCATTATATTGGGAGGCCATCTTGAAATCCTATGTAAGAGCATTACAGTGGAACTGGCAGGGGAGAAAAATGCTCCCTTTTGTTCCTTTTCCACATGGTCATATTATCATTGCTACATAATTTTTTTTTAATTCAAAGAACACAAAAGAGTAAAATAAAAGGTTGCCTCTGCTCCCCAAGTTAGCCCTTCCAACTCCATTGGCCAAAAGTAATCAATGCCAACAATTTCCGGGGTGTCTGCAATGGACAGCTCTTCCTTTGTGGCATCCAGATTTCTCAATTCTGTTTCTACATTTGGGAAATGCCCACTTATGAGGCATGGCCCTTTCTCCACTGCAGAAGTGAGGTCCTTGTATTCACTTTTCCAGCATCCCTTGCAGCTAGAGCACAAAACATGGACTCTGCCAATAAATGCACCCATGTCAGACTCTGAATTGGAAGCTGATGACACACAAGAACAGCAAGGGTCCAGAATCTATTCCAGAATATTAGTAAGTGTGGAGGTAGATCCAGTATCCAGGCTCAGAGGTTTTAATGATTCACACTGCAATTCCATGCCCACTGAAAACTGCTGGGGAAAATTTGCAGAACCAATTATACAGTTGAATTTTGGGTATTGCTTCTAGATAGATATACACCTCTAAGCCAAGTTCATAGGCACCCCAGAGATCAATGAGCTATTTATTTTCCTTCAATAAATCTTTTTTGCTTATATTGGCCAGGCTTGATCTCATCTTCTTGAAAATTAAGAACACTGGCTCATATAGTATCTTTTCAAATATGTAAGTAAGCAAATGTGCACATAGAAAGATATACGTAAATTTTTTTGCTTTTCACAGATAGAATCACATTGTACATGCTGTTAAGGACCCTTCTACAATCTCCCTTTTTCCACATTTAGCAATATATTGGCCATGTTTCCAGGTCAAAATATATAGTTTTTAAAATCATATTTATAAGTAAAAATCATCAAATTCAATGGTGCTTTTATCCGTAATAAGGTGAAAAATTTTATTCCTTGTATTTTTGTGTATTTTCAATCCAGACATTTCTATAACCAGCATCAGAGAGACATGAGTATTTTTTGTATCACCAAGATGTTTAAATAAAATAACAAAATGGTAAAACCTATAAAACACTTTTGTGAGTAAATCTCAAAGCAGATGACAGTTAAGCTAACCATCCTGTGAGATAAATTGTGTTAGAAAAGTATAAGCATCAAAAGCATATTTTAAAGTTTTTGTACAGCATACAAATTCTGTTGAGTCAGGTACTTCCACACTCAATACCAGGAATGAGCATACCATAGCAAGCAGTTTTTGTAATCAATGTTTTCCAATAAAACACAGCCATGCCCATTCACCCACATATTGTCTAGGGTTGTTTTTGACCTACAACAGCAGAGCTGAGTAGCTGCAAGAGACAAAATGGACTACAAGCCTAAAACATTATTATTTGTCCCTTTACAGAAAATGTTTACCAAATAAGGCTTTCAGAGGCTAATTCCAGCCAGTTCAAGGATGGCTGAAATAAAAAGTACCTAGGGAAAAAAAAATGGCGGCAGAGTGAATGAAGCTACACAGACCATCTCCCAGGACCAAACTGGATTTACAACGAAAATGAAGACAAATCGTCAGGAAGGGGCAACCGAAAGGCAGCTTGGAGGACCATATAACCAGGGACACTGACTCAATCCTGGTAGGCTTGCAAGGATGTGAGAGGGGGCCGGGAGCCCACGGTCCACAGCGGCCTCAGCTGGGACCAGGGGACTAGGCTGGAAGCTGCGCCCTCGGCTGGGTCCTGTGACCTCGGCAGGGTGCTACGCAATCGGCTGGATCCAGTTACCTCGGCTGGAAGCTGCTGCCACCTCGGCTGCGTCCGGCGACCAAGGCTGGGTCCTGGGGCCTCAGCTGGGTGCTACGTCCTCTGCTGGTGCCACTCTGCCACCCTTGGATGGTAGCAGCGCCCTCAGGTTAAAAGTCACAGGCGGCTCCACGACACAGAGTCTGGACAGAGGCTAAATTGGCAGCAGCCACTCACCTTGGGCTCCGGCAGAGGGAGGGCAGACTGCACTGGAACTATGTGGGGACACTCAGGATTTGGAGGGTGCTCAGAACTTTTGCTGAGTGCAGCCACGCAGGACTGTGGTCATCTTACTCCTTCCCAGGGCCCTGGGGAGAGGCAGCGGCCCCTCCCTCGGAGATTCAATCCCACCGGTGGCCACTGAAATGCTAATCGAGGCCCATTACTAACCAGCATCTGCCCCACCCTAGGGAAATCCTCTTACACTGAGCACCTGAGGAAGTTTTTCAGGAAACTCAGAAACGAAGGTTCTTCGGGTGACCTCTACTAATAGCCTCCAGGAAAAAAAAGCTACAGGATAACTACCATTCCCTGGGCTAGCAACTTTAACTAGGAAAGTTAAGACTTGACAGTGGTGTTTAAAGTGGGTCCTCCCTGCCTGAACCAAACCCAGGAGAGGGAGCCACAAACAGCAGAACACCAACACCCACAGGGAAAATTTGGCAGCCTCCAAAGCCCACTTTGAGGGCCAAAATGGTGAAAAACAGAAACAAAAGTCAAATGAAAGAACAAGAGACCTCTTCCGAAGATGAGATAAATGAGGTAAAGTTAAGCAAGTTAACAGAACTAGAATTCAGAGCCATGATGTTGAGGAAGCACAACAGCATGTGTAAGGACATAGAGATGCTGAAAATAAGCCAATTGGAAATTAAAAACCACCAAGAACAGATAAAAAATGACATATCAGAAATGAAAAACACATTGGAAGGTCTAAAAAGCAGAGTAGAGGAAGCTGAGGACCAGATGAGTGAATTAGAACACAGGGTAGAAAAAATCAACCAGTCAGAAAACCAAAAGGAAAAAACTATTAAAAAACAGGAAGACAGCCCTGGCTGGTTTGGCTCAGTGGTTAGAGCGTCGGCCTGCGGTCCGGAGAGACCCGGGTTCAGTTCCCACTAAGAGCATGTACCTCGGTTGCAGTTTGTCCCTGGCCCTGGTTGGTCGTGTGGGTGGCAGCCACTCGATGTGTCCCTTTCACGTCGATGTTTCTCTCTCTCTATCTTCCTCTCACTCTACCTGAACAAAAAAGTGGAAAAATGTCCTCAGGTGAGGATAAAAAAAAAACAAAAAACAGGAAGACAGCGTAAGAGAACTGTGGGACAACTGGAAACGTAATAATATTCGCATCATAGGAGTCCTGGAAGAGGAAGAAAATGACCAAGGGTTAGAAAATATAGTCAAAGAAATAGTGACAGAAAACGTCCCTAATTTGGTGAAGGAAGAAGGCATTTAAGTTCAAGCAGCACAGAGAGTCCCAAGTAAGAAGAACCTAAACAGGCCCACACCAAGACACATAGTAATCAATCAGCCAAAAACTAAAGACAGAGAGAGAATCCTAAAGGCAGCAATAGAAAAGCAACAGGTTACCTACAAAGGAAACCCCATAAGGCTCTCAGCTGACTTCTCACAAGAAACACTACAGGCCAGAAGGGAATGGCATGAAGTAATCAAGGTCATGAAAAACAAGGATCTGAATCCAAGACTACTCTACCCACCAAGGCTATCAGTCAAAAAAGAAGGTCAAATAAAGAGCTTCCCACACACACAAAAAAAGGCTAAGGGAATACCTTAGCACCAAACCAGCATTGCAAGAAATGTTAAAAGGACTGCTGTAATTAGCAGGAGAAATGGGAAGAAAAATAAAACCACACTAAACAACAATGGCAATAAATATGGACATAGCAATAATCACCTTAAATGTAAATGGATTGAATGCTCCCATAAAAAGACACAGAGAAGCTGATAGGATAAGAAAGCATGACTCATCTATATGTTTTTTACAAGAGACCCACCTCACAACAAAAGACTCACATAGATTGAAAGTGAAGGGATGGAAAAAAATCTTCCAAGCAAACGGAAAGGAAAAAAAGCTGGAGTAGCAATACTCATATCTGATAAAAATACATTTCAAAATAAAGGCCATAACTAGAGACAAAGAAGGCCACTACATAATATTGAAAGGATCTATCCAACAGGAAGATATAACCTTGATAAACATATATGCACCCAATATAGGAGCACCAAAATATATTAAAAATCTTCTGGAGGACTTCAAAGGAGAAATTGATAGCAATACAATCATAGCAGGGGACTTCAACACCCCACTGACATCACTGGAT